GAGAGTGTTCCAAAGCAAGAGAGTGTTCCAAAGCAAGAGAGTGTTCCAAAGCAAGAGAAGCATGCCGAGAGAAAAGTCCCAGACAGACCTTCTCACCTCACTTCCCCATCAACAAGTGCCAAGATTCAGACAAAAACATCTCTTATCCAGGAATTTGTTGAGAAAAGGGACCAAGAAGAAACCAATACGAACAAGAAAGATGGCAAGCGAGACGAGGATCTCGGCAGTGGAAAACCGAAGCTTTTTCCCAAGCTGCCGGTGAGATCCAAAGAAACTACCAGTGCACACTCAGGTATGTCTGCCGGCCTCTCCAAAGGTTTGAGTATCCATTTATGAGTTTAGGTTCTCTGACAGAACCTTTAGATAAGGATAGTCAGAAGTTCCCAAGCACTGAACCCGACGCAAATCCTGCTACATTCAAGTTTGCATCAAAATCGAAATCAGTCTCAGAGCATGCTGGAGCTCCAAAGAAGGCCTGGTCGTTTCCATACCAATTCAAAACTTCTGACTTTGAGTTCCTGGAAGACTGCTCTCGTCCCTATCCCGAGAAAGGAGAGGCTTGTAAGATTGCAGCCACCTCTTCTCCACCAAATCCATACACGGCCAAGAACTTTCAATTAAGCTTCGAGGTTGAATACTGGTGGGGAGATTCCTCTAAAGACGAGCCTGACTCGTGGGAGGCAATCCAAAAGACAGCGAGAGACGTGAGAGGAGTCTCACCTGGAATAAGTATATTTGGTGATCTCGACTTCTTCAAGCTTTCAAGAGTTACCAGAGCAAAGGACCTTGACGCCAGTGGTCGATTGACTCGCCATGATTCTTTTAAGAGAACGAGATCGGAAACCAAGGCCGCAGTTGATCGAGCGAACAGGCTAGCACCTTCACGACAGAAGCAGATCAGACTAGCTTGGAAAGAGGAGTATGTAAACGGGAGATTGTTTCCTGCGAAGAGATGACATTGAGAAGAAGACAGTTAATTAATTGTGTTTGAATGGGAATCGATGAAGTCCGATTTGAATGAGGAAACTTCCTTTGTGAGACGCCCTCTCAAGCAAAGTTTGCTTTCAACCTTGACATACCCCGATGACAATATCTTTCAGCTTCTCTTCGTAACCAAGCTATTACACAACAATATTCATTCCGAATAACAAAGCCGGAATGCTTTCAGTACCTGTATATCTCTAAATCCTTTCCCGGCCCTTCCTCCCCGGCGGTATGGACTGGTTTGTGACCGATATCTGGAATTATGCAGTGATTACAATCCTCCGAACCCAGGCGTTGCAATCGACCATGGACAGGACGAGGAATCTTTCATTTCTTCTCTCTTTTTGGAACAATAATCTAATACATTCGAACTAGTTGATTAAGGAAGCTTCGAAATAAAAATTCCAGTCAGAGTTCAAGAAGTGTACCAGCCCGATGTCGTCGCGCCAACTCCCTTGGGAGGCACCTCTCCTGAGCCTGCAGAAGTTCTCAAGTCATAAACGCCACAGCCATAAACCACAGAGCCCCCAGCGGTCCCACCACCATCAGAGCACCCGTTGAAAATGCTTCCGAACAAATCTGAACATGTTGTTTGGTCAACCTCAAAGCCAGCCACGCATTCAGTCTGCTCCATCAGGCTGATCGATGCCCACAGCGTTACATCATACCCTGTCGGCTGTTCATCTTCTATAGGATATCCGACATGAGCATATGGAGCAGTTGAGTCCAATGTAATTGCTCCTCCTTGTGAAGCACCGGTAGCCATGAAAGGACAATATCGGCTGGTTATAATATCTCTGGCATAGTCCTGACCAGTTGTTGGCAAAAAAGCTACACTTGGCATACATGATGGTGTTGGAAGTGGCAATGCTGTATAATCTTCGTAGTCCTTCGTGTCAAGCGTTAAATTGGCTGGCTCTAGCCATTGTGTCATAATTGGAAAAGAGTTCGAGTCATTCACATTTTGAGGTCCCACCCAAGGGCAGCTAACATTTCCAAGACTCTTGCCAATGTTGTGGGTGTCGTTTCCAACATTAAGAATTATCTGTTGACTACCACCTGAAACAGGAGGATTCGTTAGGTTGAACGCATTCATTTGGACTATATTCAATTAGCAAATGATCAGGATATGTGATTCAAAATCCTACAAACAGCAACTCCAGCCATCATGAACGACTCCGCGTTGTCGGATGCCCATTTTGTGTTTCGATCAGAAGCTAGCTTTATTACTGCGGCAGGCCCATAAGCCTAATCCCAGATCTTGTCTCCAATTGTAGGTGTGTAATGGAGTCTGTCAACTTGTTAGAACCAGGGAGAACAGCACCTGAAGTGCTTACACTTCGTGAAAGTATGTTGCTCCTGAATTCCGATAAAGTTTGTTGATGTCGGTCGCGGACTCAGGATTCCCTTTGAGCCATCTGACTTGCTCGCTCAGGGTTGGCCTGGTAAAGAACTCTGGACAAAAGATTGTCACATGTTTTGTCTGAATTTGATGTTAATTTTCTTACGTAATTGCGATTGACGTATATTTCCTACCCAGAAAATCCCAGGCTCACTCATCGAGTAGGCAGTATCACCAGGGAAACAGCATGTCTTCTCCTCCTTCGAACAATTGGGTTCATCGTCGTAGAAGTCATCCGGATTGTCCTTCTCATCACAGTAGATGTACACAAAGATCTCATTCAGCTCATTATGACGAAGGAATTCTTGATTTCGGATCGGGTCTGTTAATCAGTTAGCATCTGGTCATTTGATGAGGGCCTTTCCCGTCCTAGCCCTTCACTGTAAGAACGCTTATTACTCTGAGCTCTTTGGTGCCAACTATAGCCATGCCCGTCTCCAGGATCTTGGCTGTAATTATCTGAATCGGTACCCATGTACCTACTCGATGTATCAGAGCTGTGATATGGTGCTTTCAATAATCGAGATAGAGAATTTACATGTCAAACACATCCTGATAAAGGCCTCTATTCCACGGGTGATCTCCAGTCCAAAGTCCTGAGTTATTGTCAACTTGTCAAAGGTAAAATTCCGGCATATAATGCGCACTTACTTGCCTTGCTAGACAAAACATCAGCTTCAGCCCAAGCAACAGCCTCGGTGAGTCTCATGTTTGTATTGCAACGATAATGCATCAATCTACTGTATGCGGGAGTCCCATCCCGGACGTTTAGTTTCGCGAACGACCTCGATACCGTAGTTGGATTGGAGGAACTACTAGCGTGTGGTTTCCCAAAAGCTTGCTTCATCAAAACCTGAAGGGATTATGGTCAGCTCCATGACAGACCACAGAGTAGAGTCCATTCTGATACATACACAAAACAATACAACACAAATTGGGGCAAGCATTTTCATGGATGAATGGCTGACTTATCGTTTAAGTGGTTGATCTGAGAAAAGAAGATGTATTCAATTGAGACAGCGAGCTTGATAATGCATTCTGTGAGCTTTATAAGTTATGTGATTTGTAAATCGGGAAGGCTTTGTTGGTTGTACTATCGCCCTCTCGTTATTCCAACATTTTGTTGTCTTCTGGGCCGTATTCAAAGTGACCATATGGCCACTTCTACATCTGGCTCCTTACATCTATTTTCATGTATGTGTGCTCCCAAACTTCGCTTCCAACAAGCACAGGTTGTATCTAAAATAGCATACGCATCCTTCTCGTAGTCTATCATTGTAGACTTGGGATCATAGTTTGAACTCGACAAAATGAGATTTCCCGAGAATGGAGAATTGTGTTGAGCATGCTTACTGGAACCGGAAGCAATTGCGAAGGGCTGAAAACAGCCCCGCAAAGAAAAAAGTAAGGTTAACGAAAGTCTTGCAAACAAAGCTAGAAATGCGCGAAATGAAAGCTTTAAAAGAATGCCTTCAGAGCCATTTATATCATATAGCTTCTCCGCCCCGACTTGATTCTCGCCTCCACGCGAACGTATCACTGGCGCGACATGATTTGAGGCTGCATGCTCTCGTACTGATGTGTTGGTTCGTGGTCACAGGTGACCGCGGCATGTTTGCATTAGCCACCAACGCGCATGAGCGAGGCTGCGCATTCGGACGTATTTGTTTCATGATGATGACCAACTCCAACATGAACGAGACTTCGAACAAATTCAATCTATTAATGTTGTGGTTTCTCGACTGCGCCTTTTCAGCGAATTATCTGTAACACTCATAACAAAAGAGTGTTCGAGTGGCCTCCCAAGTTTGGAATAACTGCCAGAGAGAATTTCGGCCACGAGAATTGCATTCCGAGAATTAGCAAACTACTATGACGTCTCTGTGCTGGAGTAGAGTGCTTTTGGAATTATACTCTTTCCAAATAGTCTTGTCTGAGCGATTTCGATTTGAGCCCTTTCCGATATGTTCTACCTGCGTCCCTTTGGAGTTGCTTGTAATCCCAGGGGTGGGATTTGACTTGAATGAAGCTTATGCGTATGGATGGAGCCAACCTCTGAGAGTTTCTCGCCGAGCTAACTGCGACGTAGCATTGTTTCAATACGTTGGGACAACGAGACATTTGATGTAGCTCGGGTGACTACCCCCTCAACCAGCTGTAACATATTTCTAACATACATTTAAGATCAATGGCAACATGGATTATCTACAAATGATGGATAGATTTGCTGCAGAATACAGGTAGGTTTCTTCAGGGGATTCCAGGTGGTTAGAAGAAAGCTGACTCCATCTCTAGCATTATCCCCAAGTCTTCCCAAGACAAGGCTCAAATCGCATTACCGAAGAAGACAAAGAGCGACGAATTCTCTGATGGGGTGCCTAGAAAGAAACAACTTCCACTAGAAGCTCCTTCTTCGTCATCGGATATCCAAATTCTGGGACAAATGCTTCTTGCCCTCCGCAAATCCGCTGAACAACACTTAAGAATACCAATATATCTCGCCATAGCCACTCACCCGCAATTACCAAACCTCGACCATTCCACGCTACAACAAGCATTCAACTATGCAGGCCTTGCGAATATCGAGAGTTACAAATACTTTAGCAAAAAGGTCAGCGAGCTTTCAACAGCGTACGCTGCACTCGGCTATGGCATGTGTGAACACTGGACCGACATTAGGGTTTGCGAATTGTACGACGCAGACTTCGAAGAAGAGTATACTCTTGCAATTTCATTTACCGATACGTCCTTAACATTGACGAGTGTGTCGATAATTGGCGCTCACGACCTGCGAGGATCAAATTGGGCAACTGCCAACTTGGACTATACGAGTCTCCCAAACCTGAGCATGGATCAACGCAAAGGCAATGAGGAAGACATTCATTTCTGGCCTAAAGTTAGAGAAGCAATTGTGACCCACATAGTCAAACTCAGGATACCGCAAAGAGTGATACTCCTTGGAGACCAAACAGAGAACCGCGAGTTCCTCCAGTCGGTGGAAGATGCTTTTATAGCAATTGGGGCTTGGCAGTTGGTGTATCAAGTGCGAAATATTACTTATGACCCACTATTTCTAGCAGCGAGAGGAGCTGCTGAGTTTGCAAAATGCTGGCAAGGCTCAACTTGGAATTGCATTGAACAAAAATATTGTGCGAAGGAAAGAGATCATGATGTTGAGCATTGGACAAGGGAGCAATACCATCAAGCTGTCAGACATTGGTGAGGCGCACGAATGTTACATAAGCCGTCGTAGGTTCGATGTGCAACACAAATACGAGAAGCCGTCGTAGATGCGACGTGCAACAAAAATCTAAAGATTGACATCTGGTGATGTGACAAAGTTGAGACAATTGAAAATCCACTTTTGGATGATCAAGATCGTCTAGCATTTAGTAGTCTTGAGGCTTGTTATCTTCGTTCTCAAAGCAGAGATTAATTTCTTGCCTATCAATTGAAATAAGCGGCACTACCTAATGTCGTCGTGACAAGAGCCAACACGAAAAGAGGCCAGAAATGGCTTCAACAAGGTTAGGGTAGTCCAAGTTTAACTTAATTCTAACCACTTTTTGGCTGAATTGGTCTTGAAGTCGGCAACATTTTGTGCTCTTTTGACAGAGATACTACAATTCGACTTGTACTTGCCAAGCCTTAGACTTGAATTTCTGAGTAATACTTGGAATCGTCTAACCCTGGACTTCTCTGGTGAAGATTTTGGTCCCTTGGTGGTATTCTGTTTACAATTAATGTATGTTTCTTTGCGATATTTTGCCCTTAGAAGAATCTGATCTTATCTTGTATACCATGCGAAGTCAACATTGATGAAGTACATCAGCAGTAGTGACGCGGAACAGCCAAAGCATTGTTAGATATTGGTACTGTCTCGTAACATTATCTTGACCTGTCTCCTGCACTGTGAACGGCCCGGATCTTGACTCCGCATCCACTTAGGTTTGTGCATATTCTCCAAATTCCCTTAATCTGGACCAGCGCTCGTAGATTTGAAGCTTAGAAATAAGATCATAAATTCTGCTAACTTGAACGCCCAACCTGCATTTTCATCCCCAGAGTCACCTCTTTAAGACAGTGATAATTCAATTCAACGACGAAAAAAAAAGCAATCAAACGACGAATAACATGAAATAAACCACTACTCCTTCTCAACAAACTCCTTATGCTTACTCCTTACATGCCTCCTCCAATTTTCCTTTCTCTTGAATCCAATCCCGTCCCCAGCAATCTTCGAATATCGACAATCGGAGATTGAGCAAAAGAAACGCTTGGTTGTCGCGTGGACATCATTAATGTGTCGTTTGATATCTTTGGCACTTTCAAAGCCTCGCCAGCAATGCGGACACTGGCTTGGACGAGTGCGAGATTTCTGATGTCGGCTTGAAGAGGTTAGCAAAGCTCAAAAAAGACTTCGGCGAAGGGGGAGAAGCGTACTTCAGCTCATGCTATCGATAGAATAGTCGGCTGCAACTAGGGAAGGTGCATGGGATTGAGGAGGGTGTGCTGTAGCCGGAGGTTGTCGAGGAGTTGGTGATGCTAGCTGGAGTGCTTGTATTGTTGAAGGATTCTGGGTCTGAAGCAGGTTGGAGATCTGGTAAAACAGCTATCTTATGCGATGGAGTAGGCTTGGCTAGGGGCAACGTTGTACTTGAAGAGACAGGCATCGTACTAGACGTAGTTTCGGCATCGAATGCCTGTTGGTTGAAGTTGGGAGACAATCCCAAGCCAGGAAATAGTTGAGAAGGGAGAAGAAAGGAATCCATGATCTACCAGGTTTCCTCATTTGGAAATCGGAGTTGAGCACGTGGCCAGAGTCGATGGTGACGGGAACAATATGATCATGCTGATACGGAGGTTGTAGAACCGCTTTGAAGGCGTGTGTATGAAAGTCTTCTAGATGAGGGGCTTGTGCGGGGGGAGTTGAACCAAAGTAATCATGTTCTCCGTTGATAGGCGAGTATGTCGAGAAGAGATTGGCTTCTTCGAATTCCTGGTATAACGTCAAATCCAACTCTTGCGAAAGTTCTTCCGGAAAAGGAAGCAATCCATCAAAATCCGAGATACAAAGAAAAGGATCGCTCCAATCGATAGATTGGAGATCTTCCGCGCTATTTACATAGCGCGAAGTCATCACTCTTAATCACCCAGGATTCCGCCAGTAAAGGAGGGAGCGAAAGCGCCTGAGGGAAGCAGCATAAGGAAGCAGCATGACCGGTATCCCGATATCCGCGAAATTTTGGATGATTGAAAAGGGTCTTGACGATAAGTCGGATAAGGTCCGGCTTAGAAGCAGTGGAAATGAACTGGAATGTAATCCGGCTCTGGATTTGTGAAAATGTCAAGAATGAGGCTGGCGTCAGAATTTGAGTTACAGAAAAGGGCCTCGATGGAGGAAACAAGTTGATATATATGCTCACCTGTCAATTGAGGCCAACGAGGCTTGGTATGTGTGGCTTGCTGGGAAGACATGTAACTGGTTGCGCTTAAGCACCCATGTCGTGGGCCTCAGTTTGTTGGGCTGACACAGCAAAATCCTTTTTGGTACTTTGGTACAGGCATGAAGTCAAATCAAAGGCTGACCAACACATCAACTGGCGTCCAGCTGCGATATGCAACAAATCATCAAGCGTTTAATTTGCTTCAAGCAAGACAGCCATTGGAGGGAGAAAGACGACTTCCATGAAGCATTATTATGCTTCAAAAGGAGTTGTTATCTTACACACAGTTATTATGCTCACGACTCCCATGCCTTCTATCTCACAAATGTGCAGAATTTGTAGCTCATTAATCTTTGTTCGCTTTTTTATCTATTACTTATGGCCTTGTTGCCGTTCTTAGATTGGTTTATTAGCTTGCTGATTTCCTAAGCCTCGAGCTTCTGGCTTAGGAGGAATTCTTACCTCTTCTCTTCCAAAAGCTTTTCTGGTGTGTAATGAGCATGCATTGTGCCCTTTTCATCAATAAGCCATAATTATTGGCACTTTCCTTCTTGGCTGTTTAGATTCTTTCGTGTCAGACATGTTAAAAGAGGTGAATCACGTGGGTACAGATTCTTATTTCCCTATAAGCTTCACCTTTAGCATTCAAGACAAAATACAAAGAAAAGAGATTAGATTTCTCCTGGTTTGTATAAGCCAGCTCACAGCCCAATTATATAAAGGTGAAGCACGTGTCTCTATGCAACTTCACAACTCCTTCATAACCCGCTTATGCAAAACCCGACAAGCTTTCACTAGCCGCTGGTCTCGACCCCGCCAACGATGTCAGCAACAACTACGACCCCTCGCCGCACTTCACGACCTCACCTCAATACCAACCTCATCCAACTCTCACAATCTCCGAACCTCACATCCACCCCAACACGTCGTCACAATGGCGACAGTAGAGCACTGCCTCTACTGCTTCGAAACCCTAGCCGCCCGCCTCGAAAAACGTACCCCAATGACCCTCTACCAAGTCCAATCCTCCTGGGCCGCGTACCCAAAGGGTCTCGACGAAGACGACGAAGACGACGAACCCGCCTCCTCATCCCCATCCGACGAAGAAGACTCTCCTCCCACAACTAAACCCAAACTGCCCGCCCTGCAACGCCTCTCCGAATCCCGCTCCAGCAGCACCGGCTCCTCGACGCCCTCCTCCTCAACATCCACCACCTCCCTCACCCCCGCCAGCTCCCTCTCCTCCTTCTCCCCCATCGGCCTGCACCCGCGCCGCACCTCGCAACGCTCCAGCACACTAACCGAATCCCCGCTCTTCGTAACCTGGAACACCCTTTCCTCGTCCTCCCCACACCAAAAGTCCCTCCGCGGCTGCATCGGCACCTTCACCTCGACGCCCCTCTCCGCCGGCCTCTCCTCGTACGCCCTCGCCTCCGCAATCCAAGATGATCGCTTCTCGCCCATCTCCCTCCGCGAACTATCCTCCCTCGAAGTCTCCGTCACGCTGCTCACGGATTTCGAAACTTGTCCGAGCCCGCTGGATTGGGAGATCGGGGTCCATGGGATCCGGATTAGTTTTTACGCAAGGAATAAGAGGTACGGGGCGTGTTATCTGCCGGATGTGGCGGTGGAGCAGGAGTGGGATAAGGAGGAGACGGTTGTGAGTGCGATGCGGAAGGCGGGGTGGGGTGGGAGGCGGGAGAAGTGGATGGAGGTGGGGGATTTGAAGGTTGTTAGGTTTCAGGGCGTGGCGGAGAGTGTGGGGTGGGGCGAGTTTAGGAGGTGGAGGGAGTGGGTTGAGAAAGGAAAGGAGGAGGGGAAATAGATGGAGGTAGAGGATTGGGTGGAGTTTGATGGAATGGCGTTCGAGGTGGGGGATTGGGAGGGCTATAATAGTTGAATGGGCATTTCTTTCTTTGCTTCGATCATTTTCTCATTTACAGTCAGTCATGGTAGAAGAGACATAGAAGACTTCGATATTCCATTCATTCCATTTCCGTGCTGTGTGATGTGAATCTGCAAACAGAAGCTGCTCTAACATTACTGGTACATATCCATGCTACCTCTTTCTGCCCCTTTCCTCTCGTGGTATAATATCCATACTGACTTTCCATAACTTTATACATGAAACGTCCTCCACCTCATCGTCGTCCCTCATTCCATTCGTTTTAATAGATCATACAAGAAAGTAATGATCACCGCCAACAAGCCAACCTCCTAAAGAACCCCAAGAACTTATTCTCCTTCTCCTGGCCCCCACCACCCGCATCCCCAAAACTCATCTCCTTCTCTGGCCCACCAGGCAACGGACTCAACGGCGCCGTAACAGCTCTCCTTGTCCCCATCCCCGAGCTCGAAGCCCCTAAGCTCATAACCGTATTCCTCCTCTCATCAAACCCTATTCCACTCCCCACACTCCCTCCCGCTGCCTGTCGTCTCGCCTCTACCACCCTCCTCACAATCAACGCAAACGTCTCTTCGATGTTAACCGTATTCCTCGCACTCGTCTCCATAAACCCACATCCTCGTTTCCTCGCCCAATCCAAGCCTTCTCTTGCTAGCACCTGTCTCGATTCCTGCAAATCGCATTTATTGCCCGCTACAATCTTGATCGGTCGTACTGGTCCACTTCCACTCGGCGTCTGCTGCCCCTTCTTCGCCCTCCCAGACCGGAGATCGCGTTCCCATGCATCTAGACGAGTTTCCGCCTCGATATCTATGAGGTCATTGAACTCCTGTAACACGCCCAGAGAATCTTTATTCGTGATATCATACACCAGTAAGAAAGCATCAGAGCGTAAATTCGACGATGCCCACATGCCGCGGTATTCTTCCTGCCCGGCTGTATCGGTGAGCGAGAGGTGGTAGGTCTGTCCGTCAATGCGCCGTGTTATGGAGTACGAGTCTTCGATCGTGGGGTCGTATTCGTGGGTCCATTGTGAGCGTACGAGACGAAGCGTTATAGAGGACTTTCCGCAGCCGCCGTCGCCACAGATGGTGATGGTTATTCGTTGGGGTTCGGACGAGGATGCCATTGTGTTGGCGGAGGTGGGGAGGCGTGGGAGAGCCGTTGTGGATAGTTGCGGGTGCTGAGATGGCGCTTTGCGTATGGAAAGCGAAATTGCGCTTTAGTTGTAAGATTTGGATTGTCTGCGCAGAATTTGTGCGGGACTGAACAGGAGAATCGAGGCCAGGAAGGAGGGTATTCCTCCGCTCGTCACACCAGTTGGAGGCGTTCAGGCGGCTTGGGGCAATTGTGACGAGAAACCTCTCTGTTGCCTTGTGCCTGCGCGCCGAGTCGTGACTCTTCTCGAGACAATACTGCGCCGTTCTACCTATTCCTCTTCTGAAGCTATCGCGTGCTGAACAATTGCCTTGGGAGGTGGCAATGGCAAGTCGCAGATATGCAGGTACGGACGGGTTGTCGCGAGGGGAAAGAATCCGTACGTTCGTCCGTTTGTTTTATTCGTTTGTCGAATGGCCCGTTCTGGTGGAGATGCGATTTATTGCGATAATACGGCTCTCATATGAAGAATTCCGGGATGATCTCTGGAAAAGGGTGGGCTGGTCCGTGGTTCGCAGGATGATGGTTGCGGATGCCAAAAGGTCGAGGTCCAAGTCCAAGTTGTGGGTGGCAGGAAGTTTTGGTGGGGGAACAAGGAAGAACCGACAGGGATTCTGTTTCGTGTCGCTCGATTGGTTTCAATGCAGAAATGCACAATCACACAGGAATGAATCCCATGGAGAAGAAGAGTGAGAGTGATTGTGATGATGTGACGATGTTTGGTGTCCTGGCTGGCTGCTCATGCCTTGAGGTGTGATGAGTCGATAAGACAGGATGGAGACGATGAAAGAGGAAGGAGGAAAGGGCGAGAGGAAAAGATCGTCTGTGATGCCTCGTCCCCCCGTATCGATTCTGGGCACAGCAAACACAAGACAAGATGGGAGGATCCCTTGCTTTTTGAATCCAGATCTGAAGTCTGGAATTTGCTTCTTGAGACGGCGGACATCCGATCCATAATACCTTATTAATTAGCAAAGCTGTCTAAAGCACAACATCATCAAGCCTTGAACACAACTTTTTCCATGGCGGACCTGAACGGCTCGAAATGTGATCGTCTGAAAACCTTGGGTACTCACATTTTCCTCATCGGGATCAGTTTGTAAGCCGTTCGTGCACCGGCGTACGGGGAATTTCTTCTTGGTGGAGATTTGTCCAGAAAGTGAGGCTTCTCCTGCATTAGCCAGCCAGCACCACGGCACGGCACTATTCCCAAAGGAATCACAGGATGCCATTCATATGCGTTTTAAAATATGGTACCCATCCCTTCCTGCCATGCGAACATCTCCCACATCAATCATTATTGTGTGCATCTCGGGCCAGTGCAACTCCTGTCTTCAATCAATCCGCTTCGACGTTCTTTTCATGAAGATCTCGAGACCTGATCATCGAAAAGGAAAGCCTCGGTACTTCCAGCAGCGACTTGAAGGGGGTTAAAGCGTCGTCGATCACGGTGCCCATTCACGCCTGACGAATTCGCCGAACTTCTCAACGTCGAGCTTGCAGATCGCGAGTGTTCTTTCCTGCTTTGGTCATAGTCATAGTAGGGCTGAAGGAGGCAAAGGTTGCACGTCCCTCGGATCCATTACGGAGTACGACCGATGCATGTCAGCATGTACAATAAAGGGTGAGAAGCCTCTCTTCCAGTATGAACATCAATCGTTTCTAGTTCCTGTCTACTTTTCGGACGAACGAGAGTTTTTTGGGGGTTCATGAGGGGCAAGAAGGAAAAGGGGGTGGAAGCCGAACCTGCAGCGAGGCGCATCCCTATTTTCCTAGTTGCAGCTTTCGACCCCGCCGTCCGTTTGAATGGTTCGGCTACAGAGTCATGCAGCCGCCCAGACGTGTTCGTGAGGCACAGACGGGGAAACCAGACTTTGATAGCTGCACTAGGTGGAGACTTGCATGAGCGACTGAGTCGAAGGCTTGTGGTGGCGTATACCTTGCGCCATCCCGTCAGATGCTGGTTGGGCTGCTAGTGGGGTTGCGTGCAGGCTGACTTTCTTCCCGTCTGTAACGGAATGTTGGGAGCGTTCGAGTTGTCTACCTCCATATCCTTGGGCTGAGATTTCTTTACCTATAGCTTGGGTAGAGATTCTTAGCTCAGAGGATTTTGTCCTCTTCATGTTGCATAAGTTCCATAGGGTGTGTATCTTCCTACCGCATCTTGTTGATCTTTCGGAAGACCCCTCGATATGATTTTCACTTATCGTTTAAGCATAAATCCTAATAGCATGACTTTCTCCCCTCTTTCTAAGTTACGAATTTCGAACTTAAGCGTATATCTTCCTGCCGTATCTTGTTGATCTTGGTCTTGTTATATATCTTGGATGTGAGAGATGTCAATTTGGGCAAACGTGTCTGGATCTCTGACTTTCCTTCCCTCTCTTTCGGTTATGAATAAAAGTTTAGCTGGAGGCATGCATTGCTGCCCCCAACCATTGATCTTCTGTGTATCTTAGGATTGAGAGGTATTCGTTTAGGCGAAAACTCCAGCTCGTTGATTTTCTCCCTTTTATTCCAAATCATGAAGGGCATGTGTTGCTGCCTCATTTTGTTGATCTTCTTGGCTTGAAGTTGTGTAGTCTGGGCAAAAGCTCGCAGCTTTCTCCAGCCTCATGACCAAGAAAAGTGAAGAGAATTAAGAAAGCTGTATAATTCCAAGGCCATTACTCCTTTGGGCCACATGTCAATAGATCTTTCTCTTTTGAATGCGCGTGATTGTATGGAATATGGCTCTTGTATTCTTGCCTCACTGCCTATAGGTGATCTCTATTCTCGAATCCAGCTTGCCTCCTTCGCATCAAGCGCCCATGAAACTGAAGATCAAGAAGTAATTATTGCTACGACAAAGAATTCTCAAAGCAGAGTGAGCACAGAGCATGAGACGAGAATCTGAAGCTGAAGAACCCAAGTATAGTGAATGGGAGAGACCTGACTTTAGCAAGGTTGTCTGGTTTCCTTGCGCGTCGCGATTTGAAAGCGCCGCTAGCACAACCCAGATTATAGTTCCAAGTTCCGCTGGACTTTATAAGCCAAATATGTTTGTTGCACGTCGCGGTTCTTATAACTCATAATTGCAACTCCTACTCATATTCATGATTGCAGCTCATATTCAGACTCAAAGCCGTACCTTATGAACGCACATCTTTGAGCTCAGGATTACTCAGCTCTCAATATACATTTATGCTTCAAGCCTTGCCTTTGGACATTGATGAGTGATTCACGTACCCAGCGCATTCCAACTTCCAGGAACTCCTCTAAGCATTAAGCGATGCATGAACACGATAGTGGAGATACAAGAGACAATCATGGCTTCAAAAGAGTTAGCAGGAGCTTTGGCACATATGCTGTTCTGTAGGTATGTAGATATCCGTGGAAAACTCGTTCTCAACTTTACTTCTACACTCCCTAATTCCACTTATGTACCATTCTTCGCCTATATTGTTACCAATGTTTCACTTGTGTCATCCTAGCATCACCTCTCAAGTTGTATGCTCTTCCTCCATGTTTCCCCAACAATCTTCATAGCCTGAATGAGGCGTTCGATTTTCTTCTCCGTCTCCGAGCGGGCATTCACCACAGACTCGTCTTCCCCTCCTAACATATCTATCTGCTCTTCATTAAGACCGAGAACAAACTTCAAGATCAGCACAATGTACGTTCTTGCTCTTTTAATTCTTTGTAAGTAGGTATCGGGCATACTCCAGTCTTCCATACGCTTCCCGGCGAATATGCTAGTTATTTCGCCTAGCGGAAGCCCGAAGGCGCTCGTCAACGTACGTATATGGTCTCCTCCTCTCTACATAAGGACCATACTTTACTCTCCACAGCAACCCTTCAAGCCCTATCCTTCTTCGTACTTGCAACCATGTCGACATCGACATTCCATGCCTTCAGTCGACTGCCACCAGAACTCAGGCGGATGGTTTGGCTCTTTGCCCTTCCTTCTCCTCGCGTCCTCTCCGTCCACGATCTCCGCGTTCGCAGGTTACCGAAATGGCGTATCGTATACTCTGCGATAGACATTTCCTGCGAGATAAGCCAGGGTTATCCAGTCATCTTAGCTGTCAACAGCGAGTCAAGAGTAGAAGCGCTACGGTACTACTCGATGCTTCACGGATTGCAAGAATTTTGTCTCATGGGCGATTGTCTAATTAAAACCACATATTATTCGAGACGATTTGCATCCTGGCCAAGAATTCCACAACTCGTTTTTCTCGAGCATCCTTGGAAAGCTGGACACAATATGATGATCAGACAAGCTGCTGTAGAAGAGAACTATCTTCCTTTTCTGAGGCCTGAGGCTTGCTGCAACCTAGAAGAGCTTCACATTGTCATCCACATACGTCGGGAGGCCACAGATACGAGATCAGAGAATTGGAATACGACAATGGCAGAGAGGTGGAATAGCAATATAGCATATCCCGAAAGCAAACAAGCGAAGGTTTACCACTCAGGCGATACCATAGAGAAGAGTGATGGATGGGGCAACGCGGACAAGCAGAACAAGTTTCTTCGCAAGCTGGAGAAGGCTTCAAAGGGAAATGGCCCGGTGGTAAAGCTTGTTAGGACCGACCACCTACTCCGCAAGAATCATGATAACCCCAAAAACGATCGATTCTGCTTCCCAACAAGTGCGACGCCTGGTTGGTTGGACTGGGGCGGCTGTGGTGACCCATGGAAGGCGACGAAAATGATGAAACCTTTGTTCGGCTTGCGTGAAGGGAAACCTTGAGATTGCAGCGGATTGGAAAGAATCATTCGGAATCAAAGGTACAGATATGTCCCTGGTGGAACATGACGACTATCAGGGACACCTTGGAGTAGGATCCACAGCAAGTAGGTAGAGTAGGAATCATCCAGACAGCATTGATAACCAATAGCAATACCTTCGCCGTAAGATCTCGTCTAAACAACTCAAGAGCTGTTAAGTGCTTACATTTCGATCCCAAAGGGTCTTTTCCTCTCTTGTGATAGGCTATCTTTCAGCGAACCCGAGCTCCACAGTGGGCCCCCCGCATTAAGCGAGAGGTACCGCCGCCCCTCTACCTCAAGCTAACATCTTCGCCTTGAGATATATATGCGTTGATCAACGCACACTTCCAATCTCAGAAACAAACTCTTAGTTCTCATAGCATCTGACAAAATGGCGTCTCCTGAAGGACCCGTAACGCAATCCGTCACAACTCTCCTCAAGCCCGGCCTTAGGCTTGGCGATGACAACGAGAGTCCAGAGAACCAAGAATTCATACGCCTCAACAAATTGCTCAAAGCTCAACCGGGATGCCTTTCTCAATACTGGGTATATCGCTTCTCCTTTTATCTGCCTAAATCAATAACTAACAACAGCAGGGCCATCAAGTTGAGAACCCGAATATCTTCATGTGGTTAATCGGTTCGTTCTTTTCCGCTTTCAAAAGAGAGGATTGGTGCTGAAGAAATAGATTGGGAATCTAAGCCGATCTACAATACTTTCCGCGAAAGTCCCGCTCATGATGACATTGCTGGTGGTGTGGGAAAGCTAATGCAATTTGATCTTGATTCTGCACCGGTATTCGTTAGTAAGTCTCTATCTCTTCCAATTATTATTTATCTCATACTGACCAAGTCCATAGCATTTACCAAATGGGACAAAGACGCAAAAGCCGCTCTCAAGGCGCCAGTAACAGAGTTCGCGTACTTTAAGCTCCCAGATGGAGCGGGGGAGAAAGAGGAAAATGAGTGTCGCGAGTTGTTGAGTACGATTCCGGATTATGTTACGACGGTTGGGAAGGCGTTGGGGAGTGCGACTGGCTGGGGTATGTTCAATCTGTTCCCTTTCTTTTTCTAACGAACAGTTCTGAGAGAAGAAATAGTTTTCCTCGTCGAGCCAGAGAGTGCCAAGGCTCCCTGGCTACATGGCGTTTACGGATGGCAGGATATAGAAGCTCATATGAGGTGGAGGGAGATGCCAGAGATCCAGGCGCCGGTGAAAGTCTTTATGGAGGCGGGAAAGAAGGGATTGGCGTTGGTTCCTGCGGTGGAAGTACCAGGAATCAATAAGGAGACGGGATGGTTTCATGTGCGTTTTCATCATGATGATTGATGGAGATGATGAGAAAGGAGAGGCAAGGAGGAGAAGTCTTGGAGCATTATGCTCCATGAAAGTGAAAGTGAAATTTATGCAACACTGATTGGCAGGCACCGGGGGCAATGAACATCACAGTAGGCTTCAAGATCTCTTGGTTTCATCAAGTCTCTCACGTGCTAAGCCTTCACGTCCTCTTACAGCCAATTAAAAGCGCCAGCAAATTTTTGTTGCACATCGCAGCTGAACAAAGATTTACAGTTTAGTCCTCAATTTGCTTCAGAGTTGGTATCGAATCGTCGTGTGTTAGTGGGTGATTCGGTACCGATTCAATGTCCGTTATGCCTCTCTTGTGCAAATTATGTTTGGCGAGATCGCAAGAGCATGGCTATCTATGCAGGATGTACCAACGGGAATGCAGGGCTAGGAGCAATCGAAACAATCACTTGAGTAAACAACCTCTTTGCCGGCTTGAGTTGTGTAAACCTTGGCAGCATATTGGACTTGAGATGTAGAATTGGGTGCCAAAGTCAGCTCTCCATCTGAATCTTCTCTCTGATCTATATCTTACGTTCGAACACTCTCTCCCTTCAAAAGTCCTAAAGCTATCTTGAGCTTCTCAGCAGATCGATCTTCAGGAAACTCACAGCTTGCATCGATACCTGCTTTGATTCCGTAGATCTCGTCGGAATTATAGAGACAGCGAGAGTATCTATCTTCAGCCAGCATAATGCAATTATCGCGGCAGTGGACCGTCGTCCCGGCCTCCCCGCATATCGCGCTCTTTGCGCTATTCGCGCGACTCGCGTGATTTGCGCGATTTTCGCGAATGTCTGAAATCACATTAAAACTTTTGAAGAGATCAATGTCAAGACTGATACAAAAGATTTATTTTTGCTTAAATCAGATTGTATCGTGATCTCGGAAGCCTTACAGTCGCGAAATCTTATGTTACCTGCCAGACATCATAGCCATTCTGCCTCTTTCACCCCTGCTTGTGTCTTGCGAGGCAGCATAACTTCAAGCAAGGCGACCATTGAATCAAGCTGAAGTTGGGTGGAAGGAATGATGGGTTGAGATCGAGTCTGGAGCTGAAGTTGAAAAAACTGAGTATCTACGTCATTTAGACTTGGCTGGATGGTGCCCTAAGGAATGCAGGAGTAGGCCAGATTCCACGCCATCTCTTTCACAGTTTTGCAGATCAGAGAAGGTGTTCGGTGGACGATGTTTAGTTATTCGCAAAAGAAGATGGATGCTTCAATTACTAGACCGTCAAATAACGAAATATGCCCGGCTGCTACCGAATGAAGACTTCTTTCCATTGAACCCATCGAGCAGCCCATCATGTCCATGAACCCAAATTCCAGCACCGAAGCCATAAAAATTCCCGAATCTTTGGTCCTGATCTTAGTTAGTAAGTTTGGGCAACCAATGCAGGTAAAAAGAGAGAAAACGCACTATTGAGATCAAAGAAGACATTCTCTTGCCATTCAAGAATCCCACAAAGCCACCGCCAGCTTTGAGCTACGTTGAAGGAAGAGGAAATCGTAGTGATTGTTTAGAAGTCGACCGTCAGCTTCGCCAGCACCCCAAAACGAAGACAAAGGTTGCGATATTCTTGTTCATAACGAGCGCCTATAGCCTCAATTTCTGCCAAGATTTCTGCATATGTCTCATCTTCGATCTCTCGCTTTTTTTCCAGCAAGGACTTCATCTTCTCCTCAGATTTTGTTATCTCCTCTCCAATAGCGGTATCGGTCATGTTACCCGCAAGGTAAGTGGTCCACACCTCGTCAAAACTGCGCTGCTCTTCGGCGATCTCTTGGTCGTGGTGAGGAAAAGCGTTTCGTGCTTCGAGTCCGTTTTTGAATTCCTGAAGCTCTTTTTCGCGTTTTGTGTCCAACTCGTGCAAGGCTTCGTGAAATGATGTTGACACTGTGATTTTTCGTGATTAGCATGGGCGAGTCGGCTTACAACAGAAGACGTGAATAAACCGGATTTGAAGGGTCAAACTTACTTGTGATCAGTGTTTCTTTGAAGTAGCAATGGCGTGAGTACAAATTGTTGAGGTGCAGAGATAGAGGTTGCGAAGCGCAAGCGGCAAGTTTTTTGCTTGACCCATTAGGAAGGAACGAGGCGCACGGTCGCGAGTCTTCACAGGAACTTGTACGTCGCAATCAGAGTCTCTCATAGTATTGTGCTTCAAGTTGCATCTCTTGGCTTAGCATTTCTGTACAGGACACTCTATCAGTCTAAAGGAGAGTCAGACAAACATGCTCTGGCCCCAATTCGAAGGCCTTCCTGAGGCAGTTGCGAAACATAAGACAATTTGTTAAAAGTGACATGATATGTTTTCAAGGTCTATTCACAGATGTAGCAAGAGAAAGTAGCTGTTGGACGTCCATTGCGTCATGTTTGAGAGATGATCCTTTGATTTATTGCAGTGCTAAGTGACCACATGTCCTCTGCTCACTGAGCATCTCCTCTTCCTACACCCATCCAGCTATACTCATCGCCGGCATTCGATAACAAAACCTCGTAGATATTGGTAACGGGAACGAATTTGATGAAATCCAACTGAAGTTACTAATGAACGTCAGCGTGTTGGAACGAGTACAGAAGTTGGTCATAAACTTACGTTGTTCGAGTCGTTCGAAGATGCCAATCATGCGCAATCCACAGTAATATTCCTGTAGGAAGCCGATATTGGACTTGTCAACCATTTGCGGTGGGAGACTCGGGCTTCGTGCCAATTCGTTGATTGCTCTGGCGTCCGCATTGTGTTCAACACAATCCCCAGCCAGCGCTCTAGCCAACCTGCGTGCTTTGGCTTGCAGCTTGTGCTTCCCATAGTGCTTCTCAAGGGCCACACAGCCTTTGTCTATCTCCGAGAATTCTGCTTGAGACAGATTGTCAGCATGGTAAGCCTCCGCTGCGGCGGTCAACAATGCATTATGTTCGTCCAGTTCTCCTTGTCGCTTTGTAGAGCTGCTTATTCGCACAAATCCTCTTGTTCAAGAAAAAGAGAGATGTCGAGTCTCGTACTTCCGTGCCGGGCTTGCTCAATCACTATACATAGATTCACTATAGTATTGTTGATTAGCAAGTCTGATATTGAGCCCAGGTGATGCGCCAAATTAAAAGTGACAGGAATAGAATTTACTTATGATCAATCTCAGATTCGTTCAAAGATATGAAATGCAGAATAATTGGGTGTTACGAACTGAAGGCAAAAAAGTTGCGAAGCGCAATGTGGAGGTTTTGTACTTGCTTGCCAAATCGCGCTAAACTCGAGGAATCCAATTCACCTTCAAACATCTTCTTTGCCGCGATCTTTGGCTCGTTTGTTCAGATCACTTGACCACTAGACTAGCGTCTTCTGAAAATTCTTTGGCTATAAATTCCCCTCGATCTTCCCGCTTTCAAACTTTTTCTTCTTCCCAACAACACCTCCGCGCAACACAACAACTCTTCTTCTGGTCAATTCGTTGATTGCAGTCGCAGCGCCCTGGTGTATATAGGAGCTTGTGTTCTCCTACAGAGAAGTATTACCTTTCTATGATATTGAATTTGCTTTTAGATTCTTCTCAGGCAGCCTTGTCGCCGGTTGTTCCTGTTCTTTCGTCATATCGCCGGAGCGTATGACGAAGTGCCCTTCCTCAGGAGTCCGCCTCTAGACACCTTATACGTGACGAGGAAGGACGGGGTTAATGAGGTCTAGATCTTGGATTTTTCCGTCTTTGGGGGTCTCTGCTCTCCATCTGCCCGAAACTTCTGAGGTCTAGATACCGGGTGTTCACTCTAGAGTAAGGGAGTCAGCAGGTTTACCCAACGATTCGCTCTAGGGTTCACCTGAGGATTCACCCGAAGGGTGCGCGCCTGCCTGCCGCTCCAGCATTTTCGCGGGCATGCTACAATTGGTCAAGCCGGGTAGTACATTTCTTTGAAACACCGCTGGGATCCTTCGCAAGGAGAGATCTTGGCTTCTACTTCATATCGCTGGGGCGTATGAAGTATTGCCCATATCATGGTGTCCTCCTCTGACCCCTCAGACGGGACGAGGTTGGGCAGGGTTACATGTACTTCCATCCGTGAACACCTCCTTCGGGAGACTATCTAAAGATGGAAGTTTTGGAGTTCCGACTCCCTAGTCTACTTGCCCCAGTCTTTCGTAGGCATGCTATGAGGCCAAGCCTCGTGGTACAATTTTTTGTTCACCTTTGCTTGCAAGAAGCATTCTTTTGAAAAATCTTGTTGCTGGCAGGAAGCATTCTTTACGATTAATCCTGTCTTCTTCCTTCATATCGCTGGAGCGTATGAAGGATGTGCCCACGGCATGGTGTCCTCCTCTGACCCCTGAGACGGGATGAGGTTGGGCAGGGTTAAATGCGACCTCTTCCGCGAACACCTTCCAAGGTCTCCGGGCTTGACCCCTAACACGGGACGCTTGGGAGGGAGTTAGATTGTCACCTCCAGATGTTTCATCGAGGGATTCGCTCTTGACCTGGTGACGGGTTCAAGGGATCGTGGACGGATGCGCCAGCGCCTGCGGCCCCACTACACCAGGCATTCTACCAAGGTCAGGCCAGGTAGCACAATCTTTTGTTTAAACCTGAGGAATTCTCACTTTGTGTATATGTTCGGCGGACATATTTGGAACGAAATTGAGAGTATATTCCAGCAGCTACCACGTTTAGCACTAATCCGGCACATAGATTCACTTCCCTCGCCTGCGAATCACGCCGAATTCTCCTCACGAACATGGGGACAAAAGTCCGTGCGTTCAGGGCATCAGAATCATGAATTTTATTAATTAATTAGCTGTAGACCAGCCACATCGCTTAATTAAGTCGTGTACCCAGAAGTCCTGCTGCTCAATAAGCCCATTGATCCATTCCTGAGGAATTTTGTCCCATTCTTCTAATACTGCTACAACCATTTGAACCTCAGTTGTTGGCTGCCTTAGGCGCCTATGGAGAGCTTGTTTTATTCTCCTCCAGCACTTCTCAATAGGATTCATATCAGGGCTAACTGCAGGATGGGGGAATAGAGTAATACCCATAGAAGTACGCCAAGTAG